TTTAATACGAATGGTTGCTTCGTATAAGTTGTTGGGATTAGATGCACGGATTATTGGAGTTATTTTATCATTTAGACCTGTAAGAAGAGTATCAAGACACATGTTATCAATCATGTCTCTCTGACTCTGTTTTTGCGCTTCTAAAATATTTTGAGAATTTATTGAAGCATGTAATTTAGAACTAAATGTAGAAATTTTATTTGCGAAAGTTAAAGGTGTGTCATTAGGCAACTGTCTCATTCGATGAAGATCATTTATTAAAGAATTTAAGTCACGCGAATCGCCAAAATGTGTTTGGAGCAAAACTTGAATTTCATTGAAAGTGTTAAGGTTTCTTGAATTTATTATCTGAGAAGCCCTACCACGAAGTTTATTTTTAATATTAACTAAAACAAGACCTCTTTGATTATCGTTTGCAATATCCAACGCTGTTTCGCAAGAAGTTAAAAACGAATTTAACAATATTTTATCTCCGTCATACTCGGGAATCAAACAAAATAATTCAGATAATTTAAATCCTAACGCAGCATTATTAGGATTAACATTGGCATTGGCACCAGCAATACCGTTATCAGGTTCATTACCGTGTTGAGACATTGTTATTAATTAATTAAATAATAAAAAACACAAATTTAAACAGATTGATTACAAAATATTCGGAAAAGGAAAGTATAAAAGGACTTACGATTGTTGCATAGTTCTTGATGATCCACAAAGTATTGGAAATACACCAGCGAAATTCTTCAGAGTGTTTTTCTTTCTTCAAATTTTTCGAAATTTTTCAAAAATGCTGTTGGACCATCCTACCGACTGCGCCAATTTGTTAGATGTGATAGATTAAAATGCACTTTTTAAAAAAACAACATTTACTTTATTAAATAACTTTTCTACAAGAAATTAAATTGAAGTTAACTTAATAGGATATAAAATATAATGAATACAGAATGTAACTAGACAGTCCTATTTATATGTTTTAGGAACTATATTAAATTCAAGGATTATAATTAAGATTAAACTAACATGAAACTGAAATAACTTAAAATAAAGGTTCTATTGAAATTTGTTATTAAACAAATAGAATAATAATGAAAACAATAAGTCTTTATACAAAATAAAAGTCAGCAATGGAATATTTCCATCAAACTGCGTATTGTCCTTGATATATGCCGTTTAGGCCGATATAACATTTATGTAGGTTATATTAATATTTAAATGTATTTATTTTATTTCATTTGGATCGAGAGGTCCGTGGTTCTCGCCAGCATACATCCTTTTTATTTTTTTGAATATTCTGGTTAATAAAAAGAACTTCATTGGAATGGGCAATTTGGAAAACAGTGACAAAAACTTGTAAAATGTAAAAAATATTTTTTTTCTACTCCCACCTTTAAAACGCCCTTTATCGTACATGTTTCCATGACACCAAGTGACCTTTTAAATACACATTGACAAGTTGTGGCTTTATGGCGCTTTAGTCACGGGCTGAAGTTAGTTTTAAGTTAGTTGACAGTTGTCAAATGTCATAAAATCGTTAAAATAAATTGCCTTTCTTGTAAAATAATTCTAAATGTGAAAATTATTTTATTATCTCAATACAAAAATACAAAAGTATAAATAGTTTCTCAACTCCAATATTTCAAAAGTTTATATGAACATTGTACTGACCTTTTAATTTCGCCGGCAGTAAATTAGGTATAACTTAAATTTGCGCACGGACTCCACTGTAAAGTGCTCATAAAACATTTTCTTTACTTTCACTGAAAAACTGTAAATTTTCAAGAAATACATTTTGGTTTATAACCTTTATAATTGTGTTTATAAAATGTAAAAATTTGACATTTGACGGTGATACACAGATTCCCCTATTGTTTCATAGATGGCGCTCTATACAAATTATTGATTTAAATCATTTTAAGATAATAATAAGTATTTGTCGTAGAAAAAGTATAGTATGCATCTCGTTTATAAACTTTTCTATACACTCATTAATTTAAGCACTCGCTCGCAAGCACGCTCGTGCCTAAATTAAATTCGTGTATAAAATGGCGTTTATCAAACTTGATACAACACCAATATTTGAAAAGTTTATATAAAATATGAAATTTCAAATTAAACAATTACTGACCTTTTAATTTGGCAGCAGTAAACTAGTTTTAATTTAATTTCGGGTGGAGACTCAACCTTGGAGTGTCAATAAAACATTGTGTTTACTTTCACTGTGAAATTGCTTCTATATCGGATTAAACGGTCCATTTTCAAGGGATACATTTTGATTTACACTTAAAAATTTAACATTTTACAAATTCCCAAGTTGGTTACTTTTTTGTTTTATAGATGTCGCTCTATAATAAATTTAATTAATTAAATCATTTTTAAATTTGTCGTAGAAAAACTAGATTTAACTTAATTTCGGGAGGAGACTCAACCTTGGAGTGTCAATTTTTATTGACACTTGTGTTTACTTTCACTGTGAAATTGCTTCTATATCGGATTAAACGGTCTATTTTCAAGGGATACATTTTGATTTACACTTAAAAATTTAACATTTTACAAATTCCCAAGTTGGTTACTTTTTTGTTTTATAAATGTCGCTCTATAATAAATTTAATTAATTAAATAATTTTTAAATTTGTCGTAGAAAAAGTTTATAAACTTTTCTAGACACTCATTTAATTAAGCACTCGCTAGCAAGATCGCTCGTGTCTAAATTAAAATCGTGTTTAAAATTGCGTTTATCAAACTATACATTAATACCGAGATTAATACTATTAAACAAATTTTTTAGTAAAAATATTATTAGGTATAATATAAGATGCTGTTAAAATATTCTAAAACATTTAACATAGTTTAAGTTACATAATCAGACTAGAGACAGAAGTACAAACTTCCTATGTTTGAGGTGTATTTTTATGAGACAAAAACTGCAGTGCGCACAAACCCAATCTGATTAAAGCCAATCACAGTCAAGTATGACGTATAAGGTTTTCCATGACTTTGAAATTAAATGGTCCATGCATTGCAGACGCTTTTTGCGTCACCCCCTCCATATCAGTTTGTACTCCTGTCTCTAGTCTTCGTGAATTAATTATAATGATTACACTGTGCAACATTTTCGGAAAAAATTAAGATGATGGGGTTCTGAAAGTATTTTCGGTTTCTACAATCAAAATCATGAATTATAGTGTTTACAGAATGTTTAGATTGATTCTGTTTTTTTTTTTTAATATCAATTTAAAGTTTTAGTAATTCTGGATCCCGAAATATCGAAAATAATAAATAATTAGTGCATTGTTTTATAAAGTAATAACAATCAAATAAAAAAAAATTAAATAAAAAAATGCAATTTTTTTTAAAAATTGAACCTTTTTCTGGATTTAATATGTTGTAGTGCAATTTCTTAGTTCTTTTGCTTCTACCGTAATAATAATTATGGTAATTATTATTATATTAATTATTAAAAACATATTCTTTTTAACAAATATAATGAATCAACATAAAAGATATAACAAATTTTATTTATAATTTTATGCCAAAATTTCCATTCCCATAGACCAGCAAAAATCTGCCAACAACGAATCAAACCTCTTTCCTCTATAACGATTTTCCTTTTCCATTATTGTTTGATGCTCTTCTGATTAGGTGACAGCTGATTTTCGAACAGGGCAAGATGTGCATGAAGCAAATGTACTATTAGTGATGTTTACACCCATTTTTAATTTTTGTTTTATTTTTTATTATTTCTTTTTAATTTATTGTTATGACAACAAATTCCTACCAGTTAATTAGTTTAAATTAATAAATAACGGTTTTTCGGGTTCCAAAATTAATAAAACTTAAAATCGATATTTAAAAAAACCTGAATCAATCTAAACATTCTGTAAACGCAAAAAGGCATTATTTGGATAGGTGAAACGAAAACCACTTTCTGAACCACATAATTTTTGTTTGTTTTGGTTTAAATTAATAAATAACGGTTTTTTGGTTTCCAAAACTAATAAAACTTAAAATCGATATTAAAAAAAACCTGAATCAATCTAAACATTCTGTAAACGCAAAAAGGCATTCTTTGAATAGGAGAAACGAAAACCACTTTCAGAACCCCATCATTTTTTTTTGCTGTTGCACTGTGTTATTGTTAAATGCGTAATTTTTGTAATTAGGGTAAATTTAAAAATCAATTCAATATTAAATTTTCTTTCTTTCTCATTTATTTATTATTTGCTAATTTTTAGTTTTATGTTTTCACGGTCATTAAATAAATGGGGTGCTAATAATATGTATGAACCATACTTTATTAAATCATGTTCCAGTATAGTAATAAGTCATTTTTCTGTAGCATACCAATCCGGCCAAGTAGATTTTCATGTTTCATGTGAGTGATCTAGTTTTTACATTTACGAATACTATTTTTCTTTAAATTTATATACAGGGTACAAGAAGCAAAATTTTAAGGAAAATACTATACAAATATATTGCAACACACCTACATTTTTGAAATTTTATAAATTAAAAATGTGGAGATGGAACCTGGTTTAATTAGTATTCGAGATTATGTGTGGGCAATTACAATTGTTTTTAAAAACAACAAATTAATTTAAACTTAATTAATAAGAAAATTCATTCTCCAGAAGATTTCTGTGCACATTTGCACAATATGTATAATTTGCTCTTGAAATGTATGTAAAAGCTTGGAAATAATTGTTTTAGTTAAAACTTGGTTACTGATTATCTTCAGCAAGGATACATTTTGTGGATACACTAAATCCAAACAATTTTAGGTATTGTCTAATAATAATTATAAAAATAATAATAATTTGTTGCAAATAAACACAAATATTTTTTATGTGGGTGTCGTACAAGAATCTGTCTCGGGCAATTCTTTTTGGTAAATATTAATGTTTATGTTGCAATTAATTTTAATGTGAAAGTTACTGCTGCATTTTGTTTGCTCCGTGGGCTTAAACTAATTAAGTGTTTTACGGTGTGCAAATTAAACAAACCTTAATTCTTTAATTCCTGCAATTTTTCTCAATCAGAAAATTCATGCTCTCCTTCTCCCGTTTTAAATTCCAAAAAATCACCATCCACACACATTGTCACATCACTGCACATTTGTCACAGATGATATCGCAATTGTCACTTTTTCGTTTGATATTCAATAAATACAGTTTATTTTTATGCAACTCAAATTAGTCTTTCGAAAACTCGAAGAGTTTTTGTCATGATACGTGTATTTTTTAAAAATTATTAACAGGTGGGATCATGGCAACGTGCGTGTGTTAATGCGGAGAGTGCCATGAATGCGCGCACCTCCACGGTCGCAGCAGAAATAGCGTTTGTTTTCAATCGGCGCGGAGGCTGTTTTACTGTCTACCTGGCCCTAATGAGGAGCGATTCATGATGCAGTTGATCTTTGGTTTAGATAAGCCCTGTTGAAAACACTTTTTTCCATGGTTTTATCTTAATAAACATATTTGCATTTTTTTAAATTTACAATCCTCAATATGGCAAATTTTGTTTTCGACACAAATTTTCTTAATTTATTTTAATACATTTTTTGTAACAATTTTTTAAAACTTGGTGTTGTATTGTTTTATTTACACTTATTTGTATTTTTTATTTTTAAATATCAGCCGTTTTGGAGAGAATTTACATTAAAATAATTAGACTTAAAATTGATTTGTCGCATATACATTGTGTAGGTGAAACAACTCTTGTAAAAGGTAAAAAATTCTCTATTTAATTTTTGTTTTTTTATGGTTTAGCCCTGCTCGATTAGGTAAAGACTAATTTTCAACATAATTTTAATTTTGAGAAATTAAGGGTACCTATCTAGAAAATTCTCAAAAAAATATTTTATCAGAAATCGGCACTAAAGTAGTCAACAATAGGCAGTAAAGTAAAAGAAATAGGCAGTAAAGTAGAACTTTACTGCCGATTTAATACGAGTATTGTATGCAACCCATTATACATTTTAAGATGTTTCTACTGCTCCTCAGCAGCAACTAAATAATATTTTAAAAAAGCACCGTCGCGGAGGTCGATTGGACCCTTCCATAAAATGTTGTTTTATGAAAATAATTTTAATTTAATTTAATAATTTTATTAATTAAATAAAAAAATCGCTGCGGCGGGCAAATATATAATAACCGTCGCAACAAACAGTATACGTAGACACTTTCCACATTCAAATGACATTTGATTTTATTTGATCATCAAATGATTAATTAAAGTCATTTTTTAACACTCACGTGGTGATAATAATTTCGAACCGCCAATGTTTTCTACACAAAAAAGGTACTCTTGGTCATAAGCTCTAGTGTTTAAAAACATGGTCTATTTTTTGAAAAAAAAAATTTATTACTAATTAAACAAAATTTATTTTAACGTTAGAAAAAGTAACAAAACCAAACGATAATTGCAAAATTAAAAAAAAAATAAAAAATGATTTTTTACACAAATGCTGAAATGTGGTTTGGAGAATTTAGCAAAGACAACTTTTGAATCATTTTTTATTTTGCAATTATGATTTGTTTTTGTTACTTGTTCTAATGTTAAAATAAATTTTGTTTAATTAGTAAAAAAATTTTTTTTTTTTAATTGACCATGTTTTCAAACATAAAAGTTGATTTTTCTCGAAAACGGTAAAGTTTAGAGCTTATGACCAAGAGTACCTTTTTTGTGTAGAAAACATTGGCGGTTCGAATGGGCTTCTCAAAACCTTATTTTTTTCAGGGGCGTAGAAGTTAAGGAGAAAAACACCCGCTACCCCTTCAAAATCTCCACCAATTATGAGGAAAAAAAAAATTTTTCTGGCACAAAACATAGCTTATTTTGAGTAGAAAATGCTTACAAAAGATGTTTTTTGTACGATAAACGGTTCCGGAGATATTCGAAAAAAACGAATTTTTTTCTAAACTTTCAACACCCTGTATCTCGAAAATTGTGCATTTTAGAGCGTAAGTTAATAGCGACTTTTTTCATCTTTTTGGATGAGCTATCACATCCTGAAGTCCTGCGCATATATTATGAAACACCCTGTATACCAAATTTTAAAATTCTTGACCATGATTTTTTATTTATTTTGTCAAGATAGTAGGTACACTATTGCTTCTCTATAACATACGTCAAAAAAGTTACGGACCTATCTGGGGACTCACTGTAAAAAACAAAATAAAGGGCAATTTGTAATAAATTTGTCCCTTTTTTCTTTTGTAAAAAAAAGTATGAACTAATAAATTTACTTATAGTATTTGGATTTTTAGGGTTCAGCCCTGCTTGATTACAGACTAATTTTCAACATAATTTCAGTAAAAATTCTCGAAAACCCAATGTTTCTTTAAAGTAAAGTGTTTATGTTGCCGATTTGACCAAAACTTCTTAAGATAAGTAGTTTATACAATGTTATAAAAATCAGATTTTTTAGCATGTTTAACAACTTATTTCGTCCAAAAAGTACACGTGATTTTAGGCAATCAATCAAAACATTTTCCACTGACAATACGCATTAACAGGTTCAACTGACTTCTCAGATAGCACAGAGATATCTTAGAGATATCTTAAAGATGTCAGACTCGGATGTTTATGACACCTTTAATACATCCAGTTTACGACTAAGTCATCCTTAAGACGTCTTTAAGATATCTAATGTTACGAACGTCACGTCTTGGCAGGGCCGGATTTAGCATGGGGCCAGCGGGGCCACGGCCCCAGGGCCCCCACCATTTAGGGGCCCCCACCAATGCAATATGTAGCTTTGTAATGAAACGAGTATGAAAAAAAATTGGGTCGGTTATACCTGTCGGTTATACCTGTCGGTTATACCTGTAATTTTCAATTAATTTTTCGTAGATCTAACTCTAATTTTTCGCGGATTTTTTTATCGCTTATCCGGTTATTTATCAGAATATAAATTATCACACTCAAAGTTTTGGCGCGCGAAGACGTTTTTATATAGTCTATATTCATAAGTTATTACTCATAACAATTTTAAGCAGTTGTTCCTTTAGTGCTTGTCGTAACGTTCTTGTAAATACAGGCAAACAGTCAATTATTTATAATCTAATATTAAAGTTAGTTTTTGTCACAGATTTTATTGGTACATTGGAGTGTTGTGGAATATTTTCCGGTGTTTCCGAAATACTGTTTCGTGCTTTTCTTTGGACAAAAGATTGTTTTATTGTTTGATTTTGTATGAACAACAGACAAATAATACGACTTTTGATGCACTTTTTTTTCAGTTTGTAGTAAGTATTAAAAATACAAACAAAACATAGATCAATTGAGGAGTATCCGTGCAAAACCGGCTATATCCACTTTAATAAAATGTTGGGAAAATGGCAAAAACTCTCGGTTTCCTGGTTTTTACAGATAAAAGAAAAAGCCAACTTGAGTTTTGTGGGCTTTGTATACAGTACTATAGTACTTGATTTATAAGACATACTTTCGTTTTCAAAAACTTTATATTAAGGCCAAAATTTCAAAACCTTCAAACCTTTTTCTACTCCTATTACGGAATTTGACCCTTCTAATATCACTTTTATCTATGGAATGACATATATTCCGTGAAGTGTTACAGAATAAAATATTCTATCATCTGATGACAAAATAAACACTTGTGGCGACGTCTCTGTTTTTAATATCTAACAAATTTTAGACCGATCCAACCTCACTTTCTTGCAATTAAATTATTTTTCTATGGTATTTTTTGGAAAAGTAGAAAAAGTATAGTCTTAAACACGTTTGGAGTTGCATATACTATTATTATTCACAAATATTAACAAAATAAATTTAGTGCAAACATGAAAAAACAGAACAAATTTTAGTAGTAGTATCGACATATCCAAGCCACATGCTCATCATCATTATTATTTATTGGATATAGCCGGGTTTGCTATAAAAACGTGGATTTGGCCGGTTCCTAAAGCTACCTTTTAAATGTGTTTTAACATGGATATAGTCGGATTTAAACAGAATTATCTTGGTTGTCGATAGAAATGAACCCAAAGATGCGAAATCAGAAAAAAAACCAAAAACTGAATAAAATGGATTTAGCCGGTTTTGCACGGATGCTCCCCAATTTATATTTTACTTGAGTAAAATGTATGTAGGGTTATGTTCGTATTATTCAAAATATAAAGTATATAAAAACACTTTCATTCACAATTCTATTCTACTATCTACGTTTTTATAGTTTTGCATACGAATTTATAATTTCTCAGGCTTGGGTAAAATGTAGATAAGGTTATGTTCGTATTATTTAAAATATATAGGGTGATTCAGACTTGTGGTGACAAAAGCTCAGGGGAAATTCCTCTTATCGAAATATGAAAAAAGTGTATATATATAAACACGTGTCCAAAAATGCTTCATTATCGAGATAGTGAAGAGTCCCTAAGACATCTCCTGGAAACGCACTTCCCCGGCGAAACTCCTTCCAGGAGGGGCCAGAGATCCTTACCTGGGACTTAGGCCTTGCCAAAGACGTCGTGAAGGAGGGATCGGTGGAATGGGCAGTAAATGCGTTCGATCCATACAAGGCAGCAGGACCGGATGGAATATTCCCAGCATTGCTACAGAGAGGCTTGGAGATTCTTCTCCCAAGAATAGAACGAATATTCCGAGCCAGTCTGGCACTGGAATATGTCCCAAGAGCCTGGAGGGCAGCTAAAGTGGTCTTTATACCCAAAGCAGGGAAAAAAGACTACTCGGCTGAAAAGTCCTTCAGGCCAATAAGCCTAACATCCTTTCTTTTTAAAATATTACAAAGGATTGTGGACCGGTACCTGCAAGAAGGGGTGCTGAAAAGGTACCCATTCCATAAGAATCAACATGCCTATAGAAATGGAAGGTCGACCGAAACGGCTCTTCATTCTATAGTGCATAGAGTCGAAAAAGCACTGCACTACAAGGAAATGGCACTAGCTGTTTTCTTTAATGTAGAGGGGGCTTTTGATAAGGATAAGTCCTGGTTAGTTGGGTTAAATCTTCACTGGAGGAGAGGCAGGTCAGTGCATCTCTGGGAGACTGCCATTTGGACATCGGTGTGAGGGGCGGCTGCCCACAAGGCGGCTGCCTATCACCCCACCTATGGTGTTTAATAATGGATGGACTTCTGGAGAGACTGACGGCCGACGGGCTGTATGCACAAGCATATGCAGATGATGGTACAGTCCTAATCAGAGGAGGCATTCTAGGTGTAGTCTGCGACAGAATGCAGACAGCATGCAGAATAATAGAAAATTGGTGCAAAGAAAACGGTCTGTCGGTTAACCCAACAAAAACTGACATGATTCTTTTTACCAAACGAAGGAAGATACAGGACTTCAGGGCACCAGCCATGTATG